TATATATATATATATAGGTAGGAAGAAAATATATCTTGAATTTTTCCCACTTCCATGACAAGAAATTTCTGTGTTAGCATTTTCCAAGCTGTGTGCTAGACATTCTACTGGTGATATACAAGATGATTTTAAGGGGTCCATGAGTATTGATTTTTATTAAGAATATAATATATCAAACTGATTTTGTGTATTTTACTGCATTAAACTATTACTGCAATTAAAACTATAAGGACATGAAGTATAGTTAGTACAATAATATAATGTCATGTAAATACATTGATACTAAAGTATCATATTGTATCGAAGGAAAACTGCGTATGGTAGAATGAGTAAGAGTATATCTGGACATCCCAATAATGTGCGCTTCTTAGGTGATGATCTTCCAAATTTTGGCAGTATCTCTGGAGAGAGCCAGTCTAGCTTTAATTAAAATTAAGGATTTAAAAAAAAAAAAACCTTAAACCCAATGAATTAGGTGACAAGGAAGAAGGGTTAATGCAATGTAAGCTTTTATAGAGTTTGTATACACAGTGTGTTTATAGTGTCCAGTTTCGCATAACCCTCCTTTGGTTCTTGCCCCTGAAAAGACAAAATAAATTTTTATAGAGGTTTCTGATGGTATTATGTAAATTTGACGAAAAGAAGGGCGTATTACTTTTCCTATCTTGGTTCTATCATCAGGATAAAATATAATTGAAAAGATCACATTTATAATATTTCAAAATTCACTTATTACACAGTCATGAATATATATATTACATTGTATGGGCAAGCATCATTTGATGTTTGAAAGATAGCATGATGCAGAAAGAGAGCTAGTGAGATGAGGTGGCCACTTTGAAAGTGACCCAAACAAAATCAATGGGGCTTAAAGGCTAATGACAGAAAGGCATTTACTTGTATATTTCCTGTGGTTCAGTCCATATTTACTTTTCTGTTAAAATCTTCAATATTGCTCACGTTTGTTTATCTGATAACTTCTGATTTCTCTAGATAATTGTGGGTAAGCTATGTTAAAAAAATAATTTAACATTATTTTTAATGGCCTGCTATTATTAGTATTATCCCAATATACTGACAATATCCAAAGTATGTTTCTGTAACAATATTTCCTTTGGATGTGAATTAATAATATTAAGACAACAATAACAGCAGCAGCAGCAAAGTTTATGCAGCCACATAGGTTGGGGAAATAATGGAGTTAAGGTTAAATAAGGTTCTTAAATTGTCAAGGCAGATCTTTTCAGAGCCTTTAACACACATTTGTCAATTTTTAAAAGGAGGGTAGAATATGCGACAGTTTCCTAACATTTTTGAAAACTGAACTCTCATTAGGTAGGGAAGATAGTCTTCAGGAACAATATTCTCTGGATAGATTAGGAAACTCTGGTCTGAGACAAAAATAAAAAGTCGCCTCATAGATTAATAATTCTTTTAAATCTCTAATTTTTTGCTACCTAAATATTGACTTTTGGGCTCAAGCATTTGTAAGCAAGTACAATTGCATGCTTCCAGCCCAGATGGAGAATTAAACTCCTGATAGAAGGGTCCTTTTGAAATTCCTATGTCACAATTGGCTGTTGGATCCAACTCTGGCACAATAATGTAGCTGCTCTTTCAAAGGCTGCTTGCTAGATATGCATAGCATATATGTGCCAGAGCTAGGCAAATTTGGCAAGGCTGCATCAGCAAGGACCCATGAGTCCATGGCAGGGCATTGAAAGTTCTTTATGAATCATACAGTGGCACTGTCTGGCCCCTCTTTGTGAAATTCATTGAGAAAAGACAAATGGTCAAATAGGAACTTAACTAGATCCATCCCTTTGGTTGAAACTGTAGAGGGTTTGATAAAAACCAATAGAAGAAACAGTGGCTCTCATAAACGTAATCTTATTTGAATATTTCCTCTGTGAAACTGCATATAAGTAACTAAGTTGGAGTCTTAAGAAAAGAAATACTTCATGTGGTCTTAGTGTTATTTAAAAAAAATTAAGAGATGTTAGTTGTAGAGCATTTTAGGTTTACAGGAAAATCGAGAGGAAAGTACAGAGAGTTCCCACATACTCTCTCCCTTCCCCACAGCCTTCCCCACCATCAACATCCCGCATCAGTGTGTGTGGTATGTTTGTTCATGAACCTACACTGATACATCATTATCACCCAAAGTCCTTAGTTTACATTTTGGCTTCCTCTAATGGTATAGGTTTTGACAAATGTATAATGACATGTATCCACCATTATAGGATCATACCGAATAGTTTCCCTGCCCTAAAAATCCCAGTGTTATGTCCTAAAATGTGGAGGAGATTGCTTAAAAAAAAATTCTGATTATGGCTGTCGATTTTAATGGGGAAAATTTTAATCTTTGCTGAGTGTATTTTACATTTTGGTTCCAAACACTCCAATCACCTGAATCCTAGTAGGGAGGGCTTTGATCTATGACTTTTTCAAATTTTATATTGATTAAACAGATTTTAATCCTTTATAATATTCCTGAAATTTTTGTAAACATTAGGAATTATGGGGAAAAGGACAAAAATGAGTATGAGATTATATCTTAAAAATAAAAATATAAAAATAAAAATGTTTAAAATGTCATTAAAGTCAGTGACATGATGGGGCGTCTGGTGGCTCAGTTGGTTGAGCATTTGACTTTGGCTCAAGTCATGATTTCACTGTTCATGGCTTCCAGCTCCATGTCAAGCTCTGTGCTGACAGCTCATAGCCTGAAGCCTGCTTTGGATTCTGTGTCTCCCCCTTTCTGCCCCTCCTCTGCTCACGTTCTGTCTGTCTCTCTCTTAAAAATAAACATTAAAAAAAAAAGGTCAGTGACATGAACAGAAATTTTGATTCATAAAAACAATATGTCTTGATTTGACAAATTTTAATTGCACTCCTGCAATGTATCAGATGTAGGTACAGCAAATAGAAAGATGAATGAATCTCTGTCCTAAGGGATTTACAGTAGAGTAGTGCAGACATGTATTTAAGTAAGTAATCAAAGTGAAAAGTGCCAGCAGAGAGGAATATATAAGAGGAGTCATATTAACTCTGGATGTGTGGGACAGGAAGAAAAAAATGCTGTTACCATTACAAACCAGCAAGTACCTTTTCTCTGCCCATTTCTTCATTCCAGGTCAACACCCCTTGGAAAGTACAAAAGACTGAAATGGGGAAACTGGTCTTCAGCAAGTAGACACCTCTTACATGCATACAGATGATGGAAGAATGGGTCCCATATGTAAACACAAAGCTCTGCAGAGGTTAAAAGTGACTCTGAAAGACTTTGTTGAATTAGTATAATCACTCAGTGGTCAGGGAATTAAGACAAAGGCTCACTACTTTTTGGGCTCCTGCAACATCCAGGTTTATATGTTTCAGCTACATTTCATAGAGTTTATTTGAAAAGCATCAACAAAAGAGAATTTGGAAAGATTTTGTTCTCTATGTCTATGTAGACTGAAAGAATTAAGCATTTTAGATTTGCTTATGGTTTTATTCTCTAAATGAAGAAATCAGCTGATAAGTTTTAGTAAGATATTTGCAACTTGGTGAAATCCAGTGATCTCAGTAAATGCAAACCGAGCAAGATAAGAATCTAGTTTCTTTTTCTCTCTGTTCTAATCTACTTATAGTCAACACCAAACACCTCCTTTCTATAACATAAGTGATTATAAGAAAATCAAATGTGAGGCCTTCAGTGAACTAGGCTCATGTGATTCTAGAAAACTCATTCACCATAGAGCTCATCTTAACAATAAAGTTCTCATTAATCGGCTCATTTTTGCTTCATTCTTGAATGTACTAAAG